TTCATCTTTTGAATATTTACAACTTAGTCCCCAAACTTTGATATTCTTCATTTTTGGCCATTTTTCTCCATGTTTCTTCCACTTTCCACCACATTCATCACTATTGACCTGCAACATAATTTACAACGAATTAAGCTATGTTTCACGAATAAACTGACAAATATCCATGTTTATTAGTTCATATAGACATGTAGAATACACTCTTATCACTTCTGATGGCCTCCATTGTATGCATATGTCTGTTGGTTAAGTGTGTATATTCAATGATACACGTTTATCTCTTCATTCTCTCTCATTCTAGATTTCTTTGAACTTCTCTCTCTAAGTTCTTCTATTTTCTGGTTTTAGAATAATATCATCTTCTAAATCTCTTTTTCTGTGTTTGATCCTTAAATGATCATTTTAAATCTGGGGTGGGTTTCATTGTTTTGTTCTTGCTTGAACATTAACATTGGTGATTCCCTGGAGTTGTAACTGGAATGATTTGGCTCCAATTTAATGCAATGGTTTTCTTCTGGTGATGGAAGCTCAAAAAGGGATTAGGAGCTTGCTCTAAACCTCGTCTAAGGGCGAAAATCTCGAGTTCTTTCCTTTATTGTTAATTTTTGCCTTTGTTCATTGGATAAAAACTCATTATCGTTTGGACCTAATCATAACACTTACCAATCAAAATTTGATGTATCACTGTAATTTTTAAAGTGTAAGAACTTTAGTGGGACACATCTTATATGTTATTCTAGTCAAGTAATGTTATTTGTATAAGTTGTGAATAATCTTCATGTGAGGTGGCATCAAATGATAAGGTCAATAAGCGGTGTAAAAACTTTAGTGGGACACATCTTATATGTTATTCTAGTCGAGTAATGTTATTTGTATAAGAGTGAATAATCTTCATATGAGGTGACATTAAATAATAAAGTTAATAAAGTGGACCTCATTTCTATAAATTTAATTCATCTTATCATTTCACCATTCGTCACCTGCCACATTATATGTGGGTGGTCCCCAGTTTATACGTATATTATTATTCCATTCTTAAAGTTGAATTGTTTTTCGTAAAAATTTTGACACTTTAAAATTATAGTACTATGTTAAAATTTGATTTGTGAGGCAATTAACATAACGGTGAATTGGACTTACCATGCAGCGGGCACAAAAATTAGGAAAATAATGATATTTTTTTTAGCCCCGTTTGGTGAGGATTAAAATCAGATTTTAATAGATTTTGATAGATGTTAATAAAATGTGTGGTTGTAAAGTTGTGGATTCCATAAAACATATGATTAAAATTCATTGTTGATTTTGACTTAAATTAAAATTAAAATTTTAATTCTTACTAAACAGGGGCCTAATTTCCGTTTTTGAACCAATAAATTATCCCAGATAATTGGGTTTATTAATCTCCAGGTTTTTGAATGATATAAAAAATTTGGGAAGATTGCAATAGTGAGGATTTGGTCATCAAATAGTAAGTTATTAACATTTCAAACATTCATTGATTCAATTGGATATCGAGCATTTGACCATAGATATTCGTTGATTCACTTATAATATTGAATAATGGGTCATATTATTATACACCTCAATTTTATGCAAAATATTAATTGCTATAATGTTGATTTTATCCCCTCTTTCATTATAAGCTCTTGCCTTAAGTAAAGGTTGTGTTGCTTAATTGTTGGATCAATCGCAATTATTAAGGCAAGAAAAATGGCAGACCTTTTTAGAGATGGCGGGGATCGCCGTCCAGTCTCGGGTCTCGAGACGCTCCGCCCTGTGAAGAATTAAAAAAATTAATTGTTTGTTTCGAATATTTGCTTTGGATATTGATATAGTTAGTTTGAACATTATTTGCTTTGGAATTTAAAATTTTGAATTTGTATTTTAACTGAAAATTTTTGGAAAAAAAAAATGGGGTAGGAAACGGGGCAGACCCGTGCCCCGCACCGACCCATCTCTAACCTTTTTGTATAGAATAATGTTATTCATAGGCAATAATCGTCATTATATGACAGCTTGTTATTTGAAGTATTAATTTCTTATAATTATATTGCCTCAAGTAACAAGTTGCTATATATGGATAACAACTTCAATTGGTAACTATGAATAGCACTAAGACAGCTGAAATATTTTTTGAATAAAAAGTGTATATTTCAAGAATTTGAAATTAATTCTATAATTTTCTTCGATCTTGTTAACAATCACGTTGATCACATGTTATCTTCCTTCGATTTCTCAGTCGCATCAATTCTTTTCGATTTTTCCTTTCCTAAACCTGACTGCTATTCCTAAAAAGTTAATTTCTTTTCCAAATTCACAAGACATTTGTCAATAATTAGTGCTAAAGTGTATCGTAACGTACTAAAGAAAAAATAACCAAAAACTCATCCCATGGTACACAAAATATCTTCCGCCACGGATACTAATCCCTTCGAAAATATAGAGGTAATCTTCATCTTGAACACTGTGAGCTTGTACATAAAAGTGTATTTTATTATACCAAACAACATTAAAGAAGAAGAACAATTTAAATCTCGACCCTTTGTATGTATAGAAGTAATCCCCATTTTGAAAATCCTATTTTGTAGCTTGTAAAGTGTATTGTATCATATTAAACATTATTAAAGAAGAAAAATAACTTTAATCCTGACCCTAGAATGGGTACTAAATATCATCCACAGCGGTTAACAGTTCCTTTGAAAATATAGAGGTAATCCCCATTTTGAACACCATGCCACCTTAGGCTACAATTATCACGCATGAGTCTCTGTTTGTGAATGAATATATAATCATCACAAGGAAGTATATTCCTCTCTTGCAACAACTTTCCAACCTCATTAACAGTATTTGTATCATTCATTTCGACTGGAATTTTTGCTGCATTAAGCAAACTCGACGAAGTTTGAACCACCAAATCGAGCCTCCGGGAAGGAGGCTCGGCCACCACCCGTGACATGTTCTTCAAGAAAACAATAATCTCCGAAAATTCCGCAATCCCATATTCGGTTAGGCTTCGATATTCATCTTCCATTTCGCTGCCTGAGAAGAACAATGTCATTCTCTTAATGGGGGTGCCATCAACAATATGAATTTTCTCCTTTAAGCTACGAACAGTGTCGGTTTTATCCACTTCTATGTCGACTTTTCGGGCCGTGAATTTCACGGTGATTTTGACTTTACAGTCGTGTTGTTGCAAGGCAAGTGGGGTATGTTTAGCAGAAAGGTAGATTTTCGTACCTTCGGAAATGAGAGGATAATCGTCCAAATCGAGGCCGTCGATTAATTCCCAGTCACAAACTGTTAGGGTTTGTGAAGAAACTGGGATGCCATGAGAGTGTTGAATTTTGTTTTTAATTTCAAGAATGTGTTCTTGGGGTCTTACATCTATGGAAAATTCACAACCCTTCATAACAATAATGACCTTCATTTCTTGGGATTAATTTTTTAAGTTCTTCATCAGTTGAAGGTATTTACAATGTGGAATCATGAAGAAAAAATGAAGTTAACAGCTTGAAAAGTCATATTCATCTTCAATTCATTTAGCTCTTGGTTTTGATGCATGAATATGAACATGCAAAACTCACTTGTAACCCCTCTCTCTCTCTCTCTCAGGCATGATCTTGAGAGATGGCTTAGAATCAATAATCTATTATCGAATATATGTTCCTGTTCTAATACTCTACTCGAGAGATTCTTTTAATACCTTCACTGGACCACAGGTAGCATCCTTTTTCTTTCAATTAGTTTTAGGGGGAAAATGGTATATGGCCTATAAAAGATGTAATTGAAATATATTGAAAAACCTACAATAGCAGAAAAATATTGTATTCATCTCATAAAATAAATCTAAATGTCAGATTCCATTTTTTCACTTTTTCATTAAAAAGGCAGAAAAATACAGTATATGTTTAAATTTCAGTTTGAAGAAAAATATTAAGTATATGGCCTAATTTTCATCTAAAAGCAAGGCATGAAGTCCAACTTCTAGTCCAATAACCTGTACCCTAAAAACATGGGTCACTCCCCCTATATATATATTGACAACTTGACCTATAGATGTGAGTGTGTACCTATTGATTTTTATGTTTGCTTA